TCCCCCCCCCCCCCCCCCCCATTACATATTAAATTCTGATCACTCTTTTCATTACATATTAAATTCTATTTACTTCGTGCATGTTATTCTAGATTCGGCGTGTTGATCCTACATTGGATTTGGAAGCTGATTTAGGAGACGATTACATACACCTTCCAGTATGTTACTTTTTAAATTTAAATTGGTGGCTTGCTTATGTAATTGGCTGATGCAAGTTTTTCTTAAACCTAGGATCATGGAATCTTTCGAGATGGTGGCAAGGAAATAACTGAATCACATAACGAACAATGTAGAAGGACTCTGTCACAAGACCTTAATCGTCAAGGTGCAGTTGTTCTTGAAGGAAGAACTATAGGTTAGTTTCCAACTTGCAGAGAATTATATTCTTCCATTGTAGTTATCAGCTAAAAATCTTTACAACTTTGTAGATACTCCTTGTTGAATATATATAAAGATCAAATATACCCTAATCCATTTTGTCCGACTTATATAAAACTTAATTTTCTTAGAGACGAAATTCCTGCTTTTAGCTTACTTTCTTACAAATATACCTTAAGGCACCTATCATTTTAAACTCTTGAGTTAATGGTGATTTAACATTGTTCTAGTGTAGGTCTTGTGTTTAAACCCCAATAATGTTTTTTCCTCTCCAGTTGATATTAAGAGGTCATATGTTGGGTATTGTAAATCAAATTAATATATGAGCCTACATGCGAGGAGTGATAAGAATATATATAAAAGATAAATATATTTGAACTTATCTGCTTAAGCATTTCAGCTTTCTAGAGTTTTGGTTTAGAATGTGATTCAATTTATGTTTCAGATTGTTCCTTTCGGTTTAGTGTGTGTATTTTTTTAATTTCATCAATGAAAAAATTTCTCTTAAAATTAGCTTAATTTTAGTAGGGTTTTGCGCTTACAAATTTTGATAGGTGATTTTACTCGCTTTCTCAAAATATTTTGCGATTTGGGGGAAGGTAGAAACAAAGTTTAACTGTTTAACTCTTTGTGCTTGCTTACTTAAGTGGCTCATTTAGCATGTTGTAGAGTAGAAGTTTATAAGATTTCTGAAATCAGGAAAAAGGAGATTAGGGAGGTGTGGAACATAATCTGTTTCATGTGACTTATTGGGTTGCTAAGTCAATTTTGATAAGGAAATTGCTTTATTCTAGACTACTAGAAAGTTCTTTGTAAATTTTTAAATCCTAATTGATTATTTTGTTTTCTGAATTGTTGCTCTACAAACTTGAGAGCAGATGTAGACTTGGAAGATCCAAGGACAGTAGCGGAAGCACTTGTGCGGTCCAGACATGGTTAGTATGGCTGATAGAAATTTCTTTTTCCAATTCGTTTTCTGCCACCATTTTCACCCTGAGCTTGGCTGATAGAAATTCCATTTGCACCCTGAGCTTTTCTGCCACCATTTGCACCCTGAGCTTTTCTGCCACCATTTGCATTGAGAAATTAACTACTGGTAATTGATTTCACAGCGGTAGAAGGGAGTGAGAAGCAGATAGGACTTGATAGGATTGCTAGGATGACAGCGATTGAGGATCTTCAAGCACCTCATAGCTATCCTTTTGCTCCTCTTTGTATCAAGGTTGGATTTTTATTGGTGAAAGATGTTAAGATCTACAATCATTTTAGCAGAATAACATTTGATGCTATGCTTCCATAATAGGATCCTCGAGATTATTTTGATGCCCAACAAGCAAATGCCATTAAAACATTGGATGATACACGAGCTGGAATGCAACAAACTAAATGCAGTTTGAGCACTACAGAAGCATATTGCTCTCTGAGGGAATCCATATCTGAGATCAAATCTTCTGGATTGAATCATCCCATAATTAAACCTGAAGTTGCGCTTATGGTAAAAGCACGTACAGTGTTCTTTTACCAAAATCATGCATTTCTGCTATCTGGATTGACAAATCTTCTCTTGCTACCAAACATCTAATTTTGTTTTTGTAGGTTTATAATGGATTAACTCAAAATATTTCTAGTACCAAATATCAACTAGGGAAAAACCCTCAGGAGAGTATTCTGGAGAGTTTACCAAATCCTACGAAGGAAGAACTTCTACACGTGAGTTGGTGCTACTCTTGCCTCAATCTTTGAAGATATTTTTAATGGCTAGTTTCTGGAAAAGTTCCCTATTTTACTCTCACGAACATTTACTGTCCATAATAATAATAATATATTAGAGTTTGAAATTGGATTTCTTCCTTACATTTGTGTTCTCCAGTCACTTGTTTCTTCGGACTTCATTTTTTAGTGAGTTATCGTGTTAAGCACAGCTTATTGTTTCCAGCATTGGATCTCTATTCAAGAATTACTGAGGCACTTTTGGTCGTCCTATCCAATTACCACATCATATCTTTATACCAAAGTAAGTTCCTATTGCATTAATAGGACATTCCGTCATTTGACAGTATGTTTATCCATTTATTTTAATATTGAGCAATTATTTCTAATTCGGTAATTCTTGACATTTTCATCTACTTCAAATGATCATGAATCAATTTTGTTTTGACTAGTTACTACTCGCTCTTGTGCTAAAAGTTCATAATATTGAATTTAAGATTCACATTGTTTGCAAAAGCCTTCTCTTAAAGCTTCAATCTGAATTGAATAAATGATGTGTGGTGCTCTAATAAGAAAATGTGTAATGTATTGCTGGATTGGGCACAATGAAGGCCCCGGTTCATTGATAGATTTGGAGGGTATAATTCATGCTTCTAGAGTCTAGGCCGTGAAGAATGATTAAACCTAGAAGTAAATTCTAGAATTTTTTCTAGTGGCACAAGGCAGGTGACCTCTTCTCTCTCTTCATGTTTGTTGTTCGTAGTTGATTTATCTTGTTAGACTCTACACGCAAGGGGCCTTGAAGGAGGAACCTAATTGGGGGTTTCCAAATGAAAGTAGTGCTGTTTATACTTCTTCAATTTGTTGATAACACACTCCAATTATCCTCTTCCTTGGAGAAAGTGCTCAATCTTTTTTAACATTTTACAGATCTTTTAGGAGGTTCCTGACTTCAATACTACCTTCCAGTCAAAGTTAGCTTTTGGGCATCAATTGTCCAAACTCTAAGTTGGAAGAGTTGGCAATTAATCTCAGCTATAGTATTGAGCTTTGGCCCTCCCCATATTTGTGTTCCCTTAATTGTAGATCTGGAAAAGCCTCATGTTTGAGCCCCTTGGTGTCGGGAGAATATTTTGCAAGCTATAGAAATGGGATATCAAAATCCTTGCCAGGAGTGAGACTTAGCTTTTGATACTGAAATGGTTAGTGTTCCATTAGATTTTGAAACTTGGGATGTGGGATCGCCGTGAGAAATTATCAGTTTTCTTGTCCCATCATGAGGGGTATATAAGATTGCAAACCCCACTGGACAGATGAAGTCTAGACTCTTTCACTACCAATAGAGATGATTGTCGCGGATGCGATGGAAGCTCATATTGATGTTAATAGGGTTGCAAAAAAAAAAAAAAAGGAAGAACTGTAAAACCAGTAAAATAAAAAATACTGCTTAAGCGACCGAAAAAAATGAGACGGTTCAGATTCAGACTGTTTCGGTATGGCAATTTTGCATAGAAAAAAATCCGACCAAATTTAGTTGGTTTTGAGTTTGGCATGATCAGGTTGCTTGTAGCCCGAGTCGTCTGGTAATAGATATATATATTAAGAATCGATTCCTTACGAAATAATTGAAGTGCTTTATTTGGCTTGAACTACAACATTGTTTGTACCATGATGTGTGTTCAAGCCCATCTGCCCCAAAATTTTGTGATTATTATACATCCACGAGCATATGTAGGGCCTGGTGTCACAATCGCACTCTTGCGGCAACAAGACAACGATTTTGTGGCACTTGTTCTAAACCAACGAACAAGTCATCCGTGTAAAATTCGTACTTTGCTAACATATCGGCTCTCAGGTCACGTTTGAGAGAAATGTATAGAAAACGTGTGCAAGGAAAATACGTTAAAAACATTTTAAAGAAAGCAATGTTATAAGCTAAAAGTAAGTAGGCAACAACAACGGCTTTGATAGCATATAACCTAGGTAGGAAGAATTGACAACTAGTCACATCCTCATATAGTACATTTTGGGGCATTTTAGCCCTGGCGAGTGTAGACATGATTTTGGTGACCGGTTATACACTCAAGTATTGACACGACAATAATAGTAAAGGTCTATCTAACATAAAAGCAAGTAAAAGGGGTTTGGAACAGACATGTGACCATGGACAATACGTCCTAGACAAGCATTACCGGGGCATCCGACATGCAGCCACAGGCAACAAGCCTTGGACAAGCATGATTGTGACACCTGGCATGCGGTCTACTAGTGGGCTAACGACGTAAATGATCCCATTCACAAATCTCTTCTCATGATGTCTGCCTCTAATCAACGAACTGGAAAACTCGAATTGAATGACCTGGCTCTTAATCAGTTAGGACTGGTTCGGTGATGCACCATGGGTGGTTCAGTTTGGTTTTTTTTTCTTCTTTTTTTTTCTCATTTTTTGCGGCTTGGCGTTGGCTCAGAACTCAAACTGAGCCAAGCCAAACCGCGTACACGCCTAGATGTTAAGAACACTTGTTTGTAAGGGTTGTTGACGTTCACGGTTCTTTCTCTTAAGAAGCTTCTGTAAATTTGTATTAGATGCAAGTTGTAACACCAATATCCAACTAGATTTAATTGTCAAATGAACAAGAAAACAAGATAGGACCCCCTTGCGTGCTTGGAAAATCAGACAAATTAAAGAAGATTTTTGCATAGGAAAGGACTCTTAAAAGCTGAAACTTAAATCTGAGAAGGAACTTGGTCCACTTAGGAGACTGATATGCCTGAAAGCTACTTGCTGCTAAGATGTGGTATAGATTGTTCTCTGCCAGGAGGGAAAAATATTTGATGTGCTTGTAGTCACCATGAATTCGTTGTTCTTATAAATGAAAAAAATCTAGGATGTATATTTTATCACAGTAAAACTCATATCAAATGATTTATACTGGCTATATATTGCATATTTAGTATGGATCGCCTGCACTCTTAGTTGGTTGTGTGTTAACTGTCATGCAGGTGAGCAGATTAAAGGATGCCATGTCAAAAATCTATCGACAATTAGAGGTACAAGACTGCCCAACGTCCCCCAATCTTTTATGTTTTGAACAGAACATTCAGTTATATGGTCTCTCTCTATATATATTTGCCACGATCTTAAACTATTTTAATCTGTGGCTGCTAGCTTAATGTTGTTACTTATATGGAGTGTTTTGTGAAATTTCTTTCTTCTCGCTCTTGATTGATCTTTTTCCAACTTTAGATCTTGTAATATATAAAAAAAATATATTGGAAATAAGGTAGGTAGTTAGCAAATTATTTGCAGAAACGAGATGGTCTGAGCTTGAATGTATTTTTCTTCTTTGAATGTCTCCTCCTTAAACTAAATTGTTTTTCTTTTCTTGAAATGACTTCTCAATAAAATCTGATAATTTATTATGTCTATTTGAGATACGTAATGTTATCCTTTTTAATATTACGTTTCAAATATTCTTCTGTTGGTGGTTTGACTCAAATTCTCTTTTAAAGTTAGGTTCGTTTCTGTAGGTTTTGTTATTCTCTTGTCTATAGATTAATTAATTTGCATCATTATAGTTTTACGACACCACTTTCATTGAAAATAGGAGATTAAGGAAACCGTGCAGGCAGATTTCCGCCACCAAGTATCTCTTCTAGTTCGCCCAATGCATCAGGTCCGTAGCGTGTTCTCATCTGAAATTTGTACTTGTTGTTTTTGCACCTTTTCTTTCTTTTGTTATCCATGGAGGAAGATGCATGTTTATAGGCCCTGGATGCTGCATTTCAACATCATGACGCCGACTTGCAGAAGAGATCAGCAAAGAGCGGAGAAAGGCCCAACGGATACACATAGACAATATCATTATAGACTGATGCATTTATACCGATGTTCGTTAGCCAATTCTCCTTATAATCCACAAACTAATTATTTTTAGATTTATAGAATAAACTATAGAATTGGATTATTATAGCTACTCTGACTTTATATATATTATGGGAAGCTATAAGATGTTTGTCTTCAGTCATGTTTTTTATTGAAATTGAAATTTTCTTCAAGGAAAGGTCTTTATGGATCACTCCCTCTCTTTTCAGTGTCATTGAGATCATCTAGGATTGTAAAACTTCAATTTTTGATTGAACACAATAAATTGATCACTTTTTTTCATCTATTGGTTATTGAGACTGAAACTGATGAAGACAGTTTGAACTTAACCGAACTGGTTCGATTTTGATTATATAGGTCACTGAGTACCCAATAAAAGCAAGAAACCCGTAAACTCAAAATTGAAAGCACATAGTGAAGAAAAAAGTTGTATAATATTATACGACTTTTTTCTTCACTAAGGTTGTAAAACACAGAGTGTTGGTATAGTCTTTTTTTTTTTCATTTTTTTTTTTTTTTTTTTTCCTTCTTAAGGTCATAAAATGTCTTTTAGGCATATTTAAGCTAGTTTGCAGCACAAATGGCTAGTTTATAGTTTGACTCATTTTGTTCCGAAATACATTTTTGTGTTAACAAAGTTTGATTTAGTATGGAAGTCTAATTCATTCTCGACCCAACCTTACTTTGAGAAGAGAGGAAACCTTAGTCATCCTCACATAAATGCCTCATTACAACTCCATTGAAGATAACTTCTGCCCATTCCTCAAATTTTTAGATTGATATACTTCTTTCCTCTTTGACTATGCATCTGAGTGTGTGGCAAGTACCACACCGACAACCACTAAATGTAAACTAGCTGTTTCTATTTGTCTTGGTGTGCATCAACAACCACTAAGTGTAACTTCAAAAGCAGAAGTTTGTTAATTAATTTAGGAAAGCAAGCAAATTTAAAAGTAGGAATCTAGTATATTATAGACACACACATCTCGGTTGAGGACTAAAATATATTTTTCGTAACTTTTCTTTTATTCTTTTTCCTTGGAGCTTAAAATTTTTTCTGTCATGCTTCCACTAAGGTCAAAAGCTTAGCTTAGCAACTAAGGAAGAAATCAAACTTTTGTCTTCCACTTTATTTTTTCTCTTTTTCTAATTTGATTCTAGACAGTGCACCCCTTTGGTGGATAATACGAACTAACCAAGCTCAACAACTAAAAATTTAATTATTTATTTGAGATGTGAAGAGAAATCAAACAAACCAATGGGTCATTAATTATTTTAGAACATAAATACTTTACAATTAAAGCTCCCACCGACCATCATGTGTAGATTTCGCACACTTTTCACATAAAGGCAATAGAAAAAGAGGCCTCCCTGCAATTGCATGCCCACTTCTTTGTGCATGAATGAACGCTTTGTACAATAAACCATATAAAAAAAGTAAGGTTATGGTAGACAAGTGTAGCTTTTGTAATAGCCAAGAGTATTTGTGTTGGGACAAAGTTGGCAAGTCCAAACTACAACTCATTTGATTTATGAGCGTTTAGTTTAAGTTCCTTTTCACCGCGCAAATCACTCATGTGCTGCGGACAAAAGGTTTTGCTTTTGCATTTCCTATTTCCCCATATATACGCATTACACGTTCATGCAATTCTCTCCTGCCACACTCACTCACAACTCTTCACAGAGATGAAGAACAAGGCGTCCCTTCTGTTGAAGAAAATCACTTCCATTTTGGGTGCCATAGCTAAGGCCAAGTCCATGGCCATCAACTCCAAATTCAGCCCCACCAAACCTCGTCTCCTCATGCTCTCCATGCTCAAGACCAAAAAACTTCTCGTCACTTCCCTCTCTAACAAGATCCACACCATTCTCGGCCAACACCACGGCGACTGCGACGACAACGACGACACCCAAGACAACCACAGCATGGCCATTGTCCTCTATGACGCCGCTGCCGCACACGCAAGCCAGTATCAATCGAGTGCGAGCTTGGCAATGGCAGCCAAGGCTGAGGAAGAGGATGATGACAAGTATCCTGACCTGACACACTCTCTATTCGACGAAGAGTATGACTATGACATCGACGATGCAAAGCTGCAGGCTGCCGGTGGCTCGATTATCGACATGATGAGGAACTCCAAGGAAGAAGGAGAGGAGTTCAAGCTGGAGGAAGAGATCGATGAGGCGGCAGACTTGTTCATAAAGAGGTTCCGGAAACAAATACGCATGCAAAAGCTTGAATCTTTCAAGAGGCTTCAAGAGATGCTGGCCAGAGGAACTTGATTTCATTATATTAATTCAAATATATATTATAACCATAATTTATAGTTATAATCTCAGCTATTTCCTCTTGTTTCCAAATACCATTTATTTATGTACTCAATCATGGTCTTATGATTAATATAATGGAAGTTTTTAAGAGGCATCCAATTTTTTGAGAATATTTAAATGTAAAAAATGTAGAATTAAGATTATCAAATTTATGAAAAAGAAACATATTTTTCCTATAAAAAAGAAGAAGAAAAAAAAAAAAAAAGGTTAGATTGTGAGAAGCAATGAGTTCAATAAAGATGAGAACGTGCCGACGTGGAGTAGGAGTGAGCCACCTCATTTCCCGCCAAAACATCCCGCCAAACACAACCTCCTCCATGAATCGAGTGCGTTTAGGTCACTGAAGTTCAGAGCTTTCAGTTTCTCCCCTTCTCCGACCCCCTCTCCCTTAGAAATGGCTGGAGAAACTCCCGATGGAAACTCCGGCAATCCGCCGTCGGAGCTCGATTCCCCCACCACCTCCGCTGGTTTCGAAACAGACCAGCTTCCTCATCTCAGCCACATTTCCGACAACTACCCCGACGAGGACGAAGCCGCCGTTGATCCTCACATCGTTCACGACGAGCCTGATCCCGATGAAGAAGAGGAAGGAGAGGATCTCTACCACGACAATTTCCTGGAGTTAGTTCTCCAAACAGCCCCCCCACGTTGCCTTTTAATTTCGTCGAAATCTATTGCCTCATGGAGTGCTGATCTAATGAATTTTGCTCTTAACCTTGTAGAGATTATCGGAGGATGGACGACCATGACCAGTACGAGTCCTTGGGCCTCGACGATTCTTTAGAGGACGAGAGGGATTTGGATCAGATTATGGAGGACAGACGAGCTGCTGAGATGGAACTCGAGACTCGTGATGCTCAGTTCACCCGTCGGAAGCTTCCTGAGCTATTACACGACCATGGTAATCTTGCCAGCTCTGTTCTTCCTGAGTCGCGAATTCTAACTTTGTTCCTCGATTTCAGCTTGTTCACTCGCGCATTAAGCAGTGAATGCATCACTGAGATACGCGTGTTTCCATTCTTTTCTCATGCTCCTTCTCTGTTTTTCCTTTAATGCGTTCTTAAATTAGGTATTCCAATTATTAGTTTAGAATTGCCTTCACGAAGTGATATGCACCAAATTGATTCTTCAGCTTCAGTTTTCCGTCCAAAAGCTTGATATATGTAGGAATTCTCTACTATTGGCAGCAGCCAAGTTATTAGTTTTCCCCCTTTGATTACTTTTTGTGGACTGGCAGATTCTAACTGTTTTTGACGTTTTGATACAGACTCTGAGGATGACAATTACAGGCCTTCGAAAAGATCAAGAGCCGATTTTCGTCCTCCAGCTGCAGCAAGAAGCTACGATGACATTGATGGCATGCAAAGTTCTCCAGGTAGATCACAAAGGGAAAACTCACGAGATGATGTGCCCATGACTGATCATTCTGTTGATGACCAATATGAGGTGTATAAGGCTGTCACATCTTTGTTTTCCAAGTAGTAGCATTTTGCACATAATTATTGCTTGCCATTTTCAAAATTAACACGTTACCTCCAATTGTAGGATGAAGATGATGATGAAAATGAGAATGAGATGTATCGTGTTCAAGGGCCACTTAGAGAGCATGTTACCATGGATGCAGTTCGGCGCTTTATAGGCAAAAAGTTCAAGAAATTCTTGGAAACATATGTGAATCCTAAGAGTGGAAATGGAGAGCTCGAGTACATGCGACTGATTAATGAGATGGTTTTAGGTGAGCATCTACATCCGTGATTTACTGGGATGTTGATATTTGGTTTCTTTTGTAAACAAATATTGTTTTCTTAGACAACCTGTTAGAGTCATGTTCGTCCTTCTCTCATTTTTCTTAGACTAGTTGCTTTAATATTTGGTTTGCAGCCAATAGGTGCAGTTTGGAGATTGATTACAAGCAGTTTATCTTTGTTCATCCAAATATTGCAATCTGGTTGGCTGATGCACCCCAATCCGTCTTAGAAGTTATGGAAGATGTTGCAAAGAAGGTTGTGTTTGACCTACATCCGAACTACAAAAACATCCACCAAAAGATCTATGTTCGCATCAATAGTTTACCAGTTTATGACCAGATTCGAAATATTAGGTATCCTGGAAGATTCATGGTGCTGGGTCTTTCAAATACATGTTTTTCTTTCTTAATTTCTCATTCATCCTATTTTCAATGTTACCTGTTGCATTTTGTAGGCAAATTCATTTAAATACCATGATTCGCATTGGTGGCGTAGTGACTCGGCGATCTGGTGTGTTCCCCCAGTTGCAGCAGGTGAAGTATGATTGTAATAAATGTGGAACAATATTGGGACCATTTTTTCAGAATTCTTACTCAGAGGTCAAGGTTGGTTCTTGTCCTGAATGCCAGTCGAAGGGGCCATTTACATTAAATGTCGAGCAGGTGAATTCTTAATTATATCTCCGTTTTTTTTTTTGTTTGTTTTTTGAGAAACCTTAGTTGTGGTTACGTGCCTATGAATCTCATTTAAGAACTTATTTCATTTATCTTAATCGGCTGCTCCCCCAGTGCAAAATGGATGGAGGGTTTCTTGTCATGTATTTTTGTTTAATATTTCTCTTCTGTAAAACAAGATCTCAGCGAATGTTAATCAGATACCATATGTTGTTGGTTGTTATGCTGTAGACTATATATAGGAACTACCAAAAGCTAACCCTCCAAGAAAGTCCAGGAATTGTGCCAGCTGGTCGACTCCCAAGGTATAAGGAAGTGATACTCTTGAATGATCTAATTGATTGTGCCCGTCCTGGGGAGGAAATTGTACGTTCCCTGCCCTTTATTTGCTTATGTCAAAAAATTTCTTTTTGAAGTACTTGCAGTCTTTTTAATTTATGATCTGATTGATTTTCAGGAAGTCACTGGCATTTATACAAATAATTTTGACTTATCGTTGAATACAAAGAATGGTTTTCCTGTGTTTTCCACGGTTGTTGAAGCAAATTATGTTACCAAGAAGCAAGATCTCTTCTCTGCTTACAAGCTTACCCAGGAAGACAAAGAAGAGATTGAGAAGTTGGCTAAAGACCCTAGAATTGGAGAAAGGGTTAGTGATATCAAGAATTTATTGAGTACATTCCTTTAGTGTTAAGGTTAAGGGTTTTTATTTGGTATGAACTGATAACAGATAATCAAATCCATTGCCCCATCAATCTATGGTCACGAGGACATAAAAACAGCAATTTCTCTTGCAATGTTTGGAGGTCAAGAAAAAAATGTTGAAGGGAAACATCGGTTACGAGGTGATATCAATGTACTTTTACTAGGTGATCCTGGCACTGCCAAATCTCAATTTCTCAAGTAAGAGCTACATTTTTCAGTTCGGGATGAACTTCATGTATGAAATACTGGTCTATAGCTGCTTGAACATTAATTTGTATATATTTTTACCAGGTATGTTGAGAAAACTGGGCATAGAGCAGTGTACACCACAGGGAAAGGGGCTTCAGCTGTAGGACTAACAGCAGCAGTGCACAAGGATCCTGTCACAAGGGAGTGGACCCTTGAAGGTGGTGCCCTTGTATTAGCCGATAGAGGAATTTGTCTGATTGATGAGTTTGACAAAATGAATGATCAGGACAGGTAGGGAAAACAACCGTCAATTCAGCTTTACAATTCCATCTATTCTCCTGCCCAGTCTAGAAAGTTGTAAACTTTTGGTGTGTTTGAATTAAAGTTCTCATCCGTGATTAGGGTGAGTATACATGAAGCAATGGAGCAGCAAAGCATTAGCATATCAAAAGCTGGAATTGTCACTTCTCTTCAAGCCAGATGCTCTGTCATTGCAGCTGCCAATCCCGTTGGAGGAAGGTATGACAAGTATATTAGTGTTTGACTTATAATCATGGGAGGAAAGAAGTTTAACGACCAATGGATGAATAAGTTGATCAATTATGGGATGATCATTATTTGATTGCTTCTGTCCAAGTGTACACTCATCCCTCACCAAGCGGGAGGAAAAGTGACTACTTATTTCTCACTCATCCTTTACATCCAGTGATTTTGAAATTATTTCGTTATTTTGATCAACTAGCCTTTTTATAGGTACGACTCCTCAAAAACATTTTCACAAAATGTGGAGCTGACAGATCCTATCATTTCTCGATTTGACATCCTCTGCGTTGTTAAGGTAAATATCTAGAAACTTCATGCCTCCCTCTTCATATTGTAGAAGTTGATTGTTATGGAAAAGTAATTTGTTAATTTGCAGGATGTGGTAGACTCTGTAACAGATGAGATGCTTGCTAAGTTTGTTGTTGATAGTCATTTCAAATCACAGCCGAAGGGCGGTAATATTGATGATAAGTCTGTAAATGAATCTCAAGAGGACAGTCAAGACTCTACAAGGCCACTGGATCCGGAGGTCATACACTTGTACTTATTCATTCTCTTAGTAGGTTATCTGTGGACTTCACCTCTAATATGATTACTTCCTAAATATTGTTCTTCCAGGTGCTTCCCCAAGATCTGCTGAAGAAGTACATAACTTATGCTAAGTTGAATGTTTTTCCAAGGTTGCATGATGCTGATATGGATAAGTTAACACATGTCTACGCAGAATTACGAAGGGAATCTTCTGTAAGGCTCTATTTTACACCTCTTTCTTTTTATTATTATTGGTTTTTTATGGTATGCCAATGAAGGGCTCTTAATTTGTCGATTGAAACTTTTCATATTGACTATCATATTTTAATGTGACTAGCATGGGCAAGGAGTTCCTATTGCAGTTAGGCACATAGAGTCAATGATACGGATGTCTGAAGCACATGCAAGAATGCACCTTAGGCAGCACGTCACACAAGAAGATGTTGATATGGCAATTCGTGTGTTACTTGATTCTTTCATTTCGACCCAAAAATTTGGGGTACAGAAAGCTCTGCAAAAGGTATTAAAGGAGATCACTATTTTCTCTCTCTAGGCATGTCTTCTATAAATGTTAATATGGCTGTTCAATATTTTCTTCAAGAATTAACCAGTTGGGTTCCTCGTTCATTTTATACACAAAGATATGCCTGAATCATGATACTGACATTCTGCTTGGATATTTGTGATCTTCTCGATAAGACAATCCAATTACTTAATTATTCTTGATTGGATGATCAATGCCCTGTGGTTGCCATGGGAATACTTAATTTGTACTTGTGTTTTTAATACTGATAAAAAAAACTGTAATTCTTAATTTGTATTATGTTTTTAATTAGTTAATTTTGGTAATTTTAAGATAAGCGATGTGGCTGCCAATATGTTTAAAGTTCGGGTAATACAAAGAAACAAAACTAACCTTTGCTACGCTCAGCTTCTTTTCTGTCAAGGGTAAACCCAAAGTTCCCATGCCCCTTTATGCCGACAATAGAACCATCAACAATGTTGTACCTGATTTCGTTTTTGTTTATTTGAGAAAGTTTTGGTGGATCTTGTAGAGCTTTAGAAAGTATATGACTTTCAAGAAGGATTACAACGAACTGCTCCTATATCTTCTTCGAGAGCTGGTGAAGAATGCACTTCACTTTGAGGAAATTGTTCGTGGATCTACATCGGAGCTTATCCACATCAATGTGAAATTGGAAGACCTACAAAGCAAGGTAATGATACCACGTTACTCATTGGAAGACCTAAATATGGCACTTACACATTTGATATCGGTGCAGGCACAGGAGCATGAAATTTATGATTTGAAACCCTTCTTCACCAGCTCCCACTTTTCAAATGCTAATTTTCTGCTGGATGAAGAGCGTGGAGTAATCAAGCATCACCTTGCCAGATGATTTAAGGATAAAGATTAGGAAATAGGAAATAGGTGAGTTGTCTTACTGAATTGATGATATTCGTAAAGGATTTGAACGTTATGTGTAGGAAGTTTTGGTAAAATGGGATTTAAGGGTTGGCCTCTTTGAACATTCAGAGGTGTTACTGTTTTCGGATCTGAGTTTTTAACCAAATTGAGAACAAAGTTGAAGAACTTCTCTTCTTTAGCATGATCTTATGCAATCTCTTCAGACCGTCTTGTTGACCCAGACAGTCGTAGTGATATTCTTTAGCATGATCTTATGCAATTCTGAATGATAATGCTCTTCTTTGTTCAAATTTAACTTTTGTTATTTGACTCGAGGGTTCAAGTTAGGAATATCATTTGAACTCGTTTTAGATCTAATAGATTCGAATTGAAAGTTAACAGGATAGTGATCTCTGTAGCATGTTATCCTTCAGTATCTCCAAAAGCATTTCTATTTTCTTGGGCGTAATAGTAGACTAGCGTCTCATGGATGTTCAACATTGAATGAAGTCTTGAAGGTTATTCCCAAATAATACCCCACCTCATACATCCTCATTACCACATGTAATTGCTCACTAAACAACGAAGTTAAGTGGATTTTATGTGCAAATTAAAACTAAAACAAGGAACATAACAGATAAGCCTAACAAAAATCTTCACAAGAACAACGGCCATCCTTGAAATGATGGAAAACATACGGATCTTTTACTATGATTTCTCGTCCAACCTTGTTGGATATGAACTTCGCGGATTCATGACAACTATGGCATACACGAAGGTTCTTTGAAATACGAATTGTCCTTCCTGCTTCTGTACTAATCAGCCCGAAGGAAATTGCCAAGAGCTCGCTGTGTCCTATCGGAGCACACTCTCGCTCCTCATCCACGTCGTGGAATCTGAAGTCTGTATTCCTCTTGAAACCATCTTCTTCCATTTTCTTCATCAGGCACTGTAAATTCCAATATATGGCCTGCGATCTTGGGTGGGATACATCCCCTGTGCCAAATGCATGGATTTTGTTGCGGAACTCCATCCAACTGTAAGCCTTCTTTGGTCTTAATCCCATGTCTCTAATAGTTTTTCTCAGCTTTTCGACCATCTCCCATTCTTCGTTGCTGGCATACCAGTTTGAAAGTAGAACGTAATTCTCGGCATTTAGAGGTTCCAAATCACACAGCTGCTCAATGATTCGCTTCCCTAGTTTGTGTTGATGGTGCTTCCTGCATCCATCGAGCAATGCTCTCAAAATCTCTGAATTTTTGTCGAGTTTATGTTTATCGACAAATGTTCTTGCTTCATCGAATCGTCCTGCCCGGCCTAAAAGAGCCACCTTTAAAACAAAGTGTGCCATGGTTGGTTCGGTAATGCAATTGAAGTAAAAATCCCCTTCCTCTACCATGCTTGCAGTACTACAAGACTGCAAAACTGCAGTATAAGTGATCTCATCTCTATGCACCCTAAAGTTCCTGTCCATCTCACGGAACAAACCCACTCCAAGTTTTCCTTGCCCATGTAAGCTGTAGCCCGAGATCATGACAGTCCAAGAAACCATGTCTTTCTCCTTCATCCTCGAGAAAATTTTCAATGCAGATTGGATACATCCAGACTTGACATACATGTCAACTAAAGCATTTTGGACAATGAGATTGTCATCAAAATCATTTTTAAGCACGTATCCGTGAATCTCTCTTCCATGCTTGTGAGCAGCGATTCTTCCACAGGCTGGGAGAATGCTGCTGATTGTGAGAGGATCAGGCTTCAATTCTCCATCCATATTCATCTGTCGAAAGAGCTTTAAGGCCTCATTGATTCCACCATTCTTAACATAAAAATGGATGAGGTCTGTCCACGAAATGATATCTCTGAACGGCATTCGATTGAACAACCCCCTAGCATCTTTGATACTGCTACAGTCAAGGTACATTTTCAACAGGCAATTACTGACCAAGACATCAAATTCCAAGCCATGAATTCTGGCGACATGGTGGATATTTCTTCCGTGTTGCAGCAGTTTACGTGCACCACAGGCACCAATAGCAGTGGCCAATGCCACTGCATCAATATCAGCCGCCAACTCCACCATTTGGTAAAACAAGTCTAGGGAAAAACTGGGTTTATCTTCCATCAAGTACAGCTTGGCTAACATGGTCCAAGAAACAGCGTTTCTGCAAGCCGACTTGTCATGGAGCCACCTTGCAGTGTCAGCACTGTCAAGAATCCCATACAGCTCAATCAAGGAAGTAAATACATAGAGGTTAGAGAAGAGCCCAAGTTTGAAGGCTTGAGCATGGAGCTGCTTGCCAAGCTGCAGATCACCATAGTGACGGGAGGCGCAGATAACTCGAGGAAGGGTGTGGTTATCGGGGCGAACCCCTCGAGACAACATCTGTTGATAAGTAGAAATAACATGCCCCACATCACCGCTGGTGAGATGGGTTTGAATCAGATTGTTCCAAGCAAAAGTATCCCATATAGGAATATCGTCGAACAGTTGGTGGGCTACGCATAAATGAGCATTTTTCTCAGCAGTCGTGGTGCGAACATGAGGGGGATTATTAAAGAGTCGGTGGCGATGGTATGTGTGATTAGGTTTTTGAGTAAGAGGAAGACGATGAATGGGTGTGGAGAGGAGGAGATCCATTGTAGAAGTTCAGGGGATAGCCATGGAGAAGCGAAAAATGAGAATTTTAGCTTTACATAGGCAGTCATCGTACAAATGCATCGTCGTGTTGCAAACAATTGAAGAGAGGATAGTGAGCTAACTCAAGTCTTCGGCATTGGAGGGAGGCGCCATTGCTTTGTCGATGCTTCCTAGAAGTGTAAGATTAGGTAGGCGTCTCGTCAGTGCTTGGAGTGATTTAAGCGGCCATACCCACATCACGTGGGTTTACAAAGCCCGCTGGCTTGAATAAATATGAGAATCCGTTTTCTTGTGCTTCAAACATAATTTCCTTGTAAAGAAAGGAACCCTCTCCCGCGTATCTCTCTCGCTATCCCTCTGCTGTCTCTGTCTGTCTCTCTCTCTCTCAATATATTGCGATGAGAATAAGATGCTATATTCCTCAGCGTGAAAGGTGCGTCTCTTCAAAGCATTCTGCAAAAGCTTCCTCAGCTTGTAAACTGAACAGTGAAAGGTACGTCCCTTTCCTTAAAACCTCTCTCTCTCTCTCTCTGTTTCTCTTACTCGTGTCTCTTTCGATTCATTTTGCAGGTCTTTGTTGCGCCAACGCAAAAAACTTGCTCACTGTGGATGCTATTTTTGTTTAAGACCGAAACCCCTTCGTAAACCTTCCAAGTTCATCTGCCTATGCTGTTGTTATGCCCTCCAATTGGCCGTAAACCAGTTTCATCCTCCGCTCGCCTCCTCTCTGCAACTTCTCTCCGCCTTTTCTCATCAGCTGTACACCCATCAGCGGAGACACAAGCTTCCTCGTCGCCCGCCATTCTAGCTTCAATGGCGGTGCAGCACCCCAAAGATGACGACTACCTCAGTTCCGTCATTCCTAAACGCGTTCAGCTTTTCCAGTCGATACAGGCAAAGCTACTTGCTGACCGGTGTTCTCTTCCCTCTGATCCAATCGAGTTAGTATGACGTTAGAAGCTATGGAAATTGATAGCCTATGCTTGTATTATTTGAATTTCGAATTTTACTTGGTTCTTTGCTTTTTAGGATATCCTTACCGGATGGGACGGTGAAGGAGGGTAAGAAATGGCAAACAGCACCAATAGATGTTGCTAGAGAAATCTCGAAAAGTTTGGCTGCAAACGCTTTGATTGCGCAAGTTGATGGAGTTCTATGGGACATGAGCAGGCCGCTTGAAGATGATTGTGAGCTTAAGCTGTTCACTTTCGAAAGTGATGAAGGGCGTGACACTTTTTGGCATTCTAGCGCTCATATCCTTGGACAGGTTGATAGCCCCATCTATTGTCATACACTCAATCTGAACTCATTAATTTCAATCCTAACACCGTTTCACCTTTGTTGTCTTTCCTGGTTTAGTCGCTCGAGATGGAGTATGGTTGCAAGCTTTGCATTGGACCCTGTACCACTAGAGGAGAGGTACGTATGTGTGTGTGTATAGTATTAAAAGAAATGGGGGAGAAGATAATCTGTAAGTGAAAACCATCTATTATTAAGCCTGACCAAAATTACCTTAGTAATTGCTATTTTGGTTGTCCAACGGAAAAAGTGCCAAGGTCCTTCACCTTCGACGAAGGATCCAACATCCTTCGGAGGAAAAGATCTAGAATTATTTTGTGATTGTATACTCAATCATCTTTTCTGTGGTGTAGATGATCCTTCCTTTCTAGTTAGGGGTGATCATTGATTTAGTTCCTTTGTTTTTTTTTTTTTTTTTTTTTTTTTTGGCTAAATTGTGAATTGAATTGGTGACTTATCTTTTAGTGTATGAAATTGAACAAATGTCCAAATAAGCAAAAATAGAAAAAAGTCGAACTGGTTGGTTCGGTTTTTTAAGAAGGAAGAATGCTTTTGAATACAGTCCACAGTGTTGACTTCTCCCATGTAAGCCCTTCCAGGTAGTGATCAACTTGCTGAAATAAGTTACATTATCGTAACTTGAAAGGGGATAGCTTTGGCAGTTAGGATAAACTTTTTGTTGCATTGTCCAGTTGACTTATATAGGGGTGTTAAGAGTTTCAACACCGTATGTAACTTCCCTCTAATTTTTATGCTTGTAGTTTGGTTTACTTATAGATTAATGGACTTTCATGACAGGGATTCTATTACGATGCTTTTTATGATGATTTATGCTTGAATGATGATCACTTCAAGCAAATTGAGTCTGGTGCACTGAAGGCTGCATCGGTATTGCTCTTTCTCTTCTCTTGACAAGGAGTTTACACCATTTATTTCATATAATTAAAATCAAGTTATATATAAATATATATATATATATATATATATATATATATATTTCCATGTATTTACACGTGGAAGAAGGATGTTAATAACCATATATAAAGAATGTCCACCACTATTTCTCTCTTTCTTTCTTTCTTTCTTTCTTTATTAGTTTTTGTTGGGAGGGTGAGGACTGGTGTTGTTTGTAATCTCAGTCTTTCACATTTGTAAAGGCCTAACAACTAAGGTTTTGGGACTAATTTTGTATGTGGAAATGCTATGCTAGAGAGTCCTCACTCTTACCCTAGTTAACTTTAGCTTCATTTGTTATAAAGAATGTAAAGAGTCAGTGCTAGTAAACTAACCTTCTGGTTGTTCCAATTTTTCGGAACTAGTAGTGAATCAATAATTTGACAATTGATATCGAAATGTATGATAAGCTAGAATCACATTGCACATATCTGTTGCTTCCTAAACTTTAACAGTGCTTGCTTATTATCTTTTTATTCACCGACTGTATTAGTGACTTTTATTTTGGCTCGAAATGAAGTGCTGGAAGATTTTTCCCAATAAGGCATTCAATAATCTGGTTTCATGCTTCTTTCATTTTTCTCAATGAATGGTTATTCATAAAAGAAAAAAAAAGATCTATGTTTCATACATGAAACATCATCATTACAGAGGATACTTGTTATCAAAGGAATAATTTGATCTATTACTTTTAAATTTTCAGGAGAGACAACCTTTTGAGCGCATTGAAGTTTCAAGGCAACAAGCTCTTGAAATGTTTTCTGACAATAAATTCAAGGCAATCGAATATCTCAAAAAAATTGCTGTTCATCTGATAATTGAGGACTGACATTCTTCTGTTCCTATTTGTGAATGACTTTACTCAGGTTGAAATCATCAGTGATTTGCCAGAAGACAAAACTATCACTGTTTATAGATGCGGTCCCTTGGTTGATTTATGCCGTGGTCCACATATACCAAATACATCATTTGTGAAGGCATTTGCTTGTCTGAAGGTACTGTT